GTTGAACAGTGCTGAGTCTCAGGTCGGAATGGTTCAGTAATAACAGGCATGTGGAGTGCCGAATCAAGGATCTAAATGTTAAACAGTGCTGAGCGTCAGGTCAGAATGTTGCCATGCGTTTGGCGCGGTTTTTAAAAGCTATTTTATATTAAGTTAGCTGTCCACCCTCTTCGTGTTCCTCTTTGCTACAATTTTGCGGCGGATGCGGCCTATTTGGCACGTTGCTTCATGTGTTCTTTTGCTTAAACATGCAGGATGAGTTTGCCTGGATCATTTAAACACTTTCAACGTGGTGAACAAATTTACCGTGCTAACATCTTAGAGGAAAATGATATAAAGCGATGGATAGAAGAATATGATATGACATATGCGAATTCGAATGTGAAGGCAGCAAAGAATAATTATACCACAGATTTAAATGCAGGTTTGTGTTCAATGTCAATTCAATGACGTAGAATCTTCTTGGATACGAATAGACTTTAGAAAATACATTTTTTAGATATGTTTTTGTATGCCATCATAGGGCTTACAAAAAAGTGTAGCAAGGAAATAATAAAAAAGGAAAATCAGCAGTTGAGTGCCGAATCTAAGGTCAAAATGTTATAAACAGTGATGAGCATCAGGTTAGAATGTTGCCATGCGTTTGGCGCGGTTTTCATTTAAATCAGCTGTCCACCCCCTTCGTACAATTTTGCAGCGGATGCGGTCTTTTTGGCACGTTGCTTTATGCGTCCTTGTGCTTTACATGCGAGATGAATTTGTCTGAATCATTCAAACACTTTCAATGTGGTGAACAAATTAACCGTGCATTTTAGAGGAAAACATAGTATATCCTGAACAGTGAACAAAGCTGTTCAGTTCATGTGGCAACAAGTAAATAAAACGTATGTTTGCTGATTTTTTGTCGCGCTGACGGGGCAACATTCCAACCTGCAGCTGGGCACTGTTTAACATTTTGACCTTAGATTCGGCACTCCACATACCTGTTGCTACAGAACCATTTCGACCTGATGCTCAGCACCGTTCAACATACCAGTACGGATTTCGGCTCTCCGCATTAATTGGCGATCCGAATTCAAACTATTCAAACGGACCAATGAAATATGCGTAGGTGCCGAAACCTATACCGGAATGTTTAGATGCGGCCGGGGCGGATCGCATCGCAAAAATCCGTCTACCATAGATTCAAATGAATCTGCGTCCACTCTGCAATTTCGTTTTAATCTATGGTAGACGGATTTTTGCGATGCGATCCGCCCCGACCTGTTCCGGCTGTTCCGCTTAGTGGACGCGTACCTCAGAAGGTATCTACCAGTCTATCACGCAGCAATAACGGTATCTCCTACAACACTGACTATTGTGTATAAGTCGGTCTCCATTACTTCTCAGGACGCACATCAATTGCATGTTAAAAAAAATAATAAGTCACCATGAAAAAAAATAATAATAATAATAAGAGGTCGAGCCTAAAGACATTTATTGTGGGAAGTTATCCAACAAAAGACCCTTTTATCCAAGCTGGTACGCCAATGCTGAATAAAAAAGATAACAAATTCCAGATAAAAGATGAACAGCAGTATTTGCTAGCATCATATAGCATTTTGAAAAATACCAATTTTTAAGTTCTTCTCACCAAACCAGAAAATACTCTTGGTGTTACGCCACTGGAATACACCCTTGTATTAAGAGTCGTAACTTGGATTTGTTCAAAAAGCTGTTTAATTGCATAGTATAATTTATAAATTCCGTTAGCAAATTTTTTCTGCACGCCACTGTAGGCAATAACGTTCAATAAGTGCTCCAATCTTTTCTCGGTCCCAAGAAATTACACACCATGCAACAGTATGAGAAAAAATACCCATTCTCAAGAGAAACCCCGAAAAAGTCCCTTTAGGGATAAATGTAACCCTTTTTTAAAAATTCGTTGATTTGCGTTATAGCCAACTTTCCAAAAATTTGAGAAATGGAGAGTCGCCTAATATTGGATACTATTTTTCAAACTGTAAAATTATATCGAAAAAACATCCCTATATTTGTGCTAGTTTAATGGAGTTATAGCATAAGTATATATTCTCAGTTAATATGGTCGGCAAAAGAATGAAAAATTATCTCCGGAAGTAATACATATTTTTAAAAAATTGCTGATTTTGTCAATTTAGAAAATAGTAGCCTAATATTGGATAGGGTATCCAATATTAGAAAACCATTTTTTTATTCAAAGGCTATTAATAATTTCAAGACTTTATATCACTGCTTATATTTGCTTTATTCCATTACTGTCTTCTCTTAGTAGCCATTTCTGAAAACAATATATTATTGCAGTTGACCTCAAAGCATTGCCTAATATCGGATATCCAATATTGGGAACCTGTAGCTATCAATTAGCTATCCAATATTAGGCGCATCATAAATTTTTTAGGATATAATTATTTTAGACGAAAAAAAACAAGATTTTATTAATGAAAACTGTAGAAAAATTTACTTTATAACATGAACTAGCCATCCCATTTAGAAATATTTATAATGTTTCCGTTTCAACTGATAATTCAGCACCTAAAATAGGGAGGAAATAATTTTCAAACACACACATTTCATTTAAATGTCGTTTATGTCAACATAGTCTATTATAGAGCTCTGCAAACTTATTAGTGGGGTTTTAAGGTGTAACGTAGCTTCTGGTTACTAGGAAGAAGCGTATATACAGTTACGTTATTGAAATAGGTAGGTATCCAATACTAGGCAGTATCCTAATATTAGGCGCCTTTCCTCTACTTCTTTTGGAATAGTCGGTCTCCATTACTTCGCAGGAGACCAGTCAATTTGCACGTTTTTTTTTTTTTTTTAACCCATGACAGAAAAAAATTCGAGGTCGAGCCGAAAGACATGATTGCGGAAGGTTATTCAAAGAAGGACCCTTTTATCCAAGCGGGTACGCCAATGCTAAATAACAAGGTTAAAAAATTCCGGATGAAAGATGAACAGCAGTGTAGACCAGCATTTTGAAAAATATCAATTTTTAAGTTCTTCCCACCAAACCAAAAGATACTCTTGGTATTACGCCACTGGAATACACTCTTGTAGCAAGAGTAGTAACTTGGATTTGTTCATTAAGCTGTTTAATTGCATAGTGTAATTTAATTTATAAATTCGGTTTTAATTACAAAATGTCAAAAGCAATTTTGTTCTGCACGCCACTGTAGGCAATACGTTCAATGAGTGCTGCAATCTTTTCTTGGGGCCAAGAAATTCCACTTCATGCAAAAGTATAAGAAAATATACCCATTCTCAAGGGAAACCCCGAAAAAGTCAATGTTTTAATGATAAATGTGACCCCTTTTTAAAAATTCGATAATTTGCGTTATAGCCAACTCTCGAAAAATTGAGAAATTACTTTTTTTGGGACAGTCCATTGATCAAAAAGATGCATATAAAAATTTCCAAGATCAAAAATTGAGAATCTAGCATAGCTCCAAACTTTGCTAAAAAAACATGACTTCCTTTACTCACCCTGTTGTATAGGTGGATAAATGAAAGAAATATACCGGTCAAACCTTGTGCGTGTTCTCAAAGAGTTGGTTAAGAACCTCCCGAATACCGCAACTCGATATCTCTTTCCGTTCCGCAAATATCGAGATTTGAATTTGGGTAAAATTTTCCATGTTGCAAAGCAACTGTTCACCAGTTTATATTGGCGTTGATTGACACTCTGCCATCTAGCATGAAAAAATGGCACAAATTACAGGAACATGATAATTTTTATTAACTTTTTCGTCAACACTTGACAAAGAAATGATCCATTATATACCTAGGACTGGAGAGATTTAAAATTTGAGCTCAGCACAAAAATAACCATTATGGTCCTGATCCTAGGATCATAATAGTTATATAAACTTTATGTCTAGTTTTGACGACAATAAAGTTTACATTATAGACCTTTTCGATATAAAATATTGTTATATTATAATCTCATAATTTACCTTATAGCTTCGTTATATCTCAAACCTACTTGTTTTATTATATAATTTTGCTAGTTTTTTTAGTTAGAACCAACCATTTTATCTAGAAACAGATGAAGAAATTTTTGATATAGCCCAGTCCGATAAAAAAAAACTGTTAAAGAACATAAATATCATTCCCTGAATACAATGTATAAAGCTTTGTTTCTTAATTAGTTTTATCATTGATTTTGTTGATCTAAAAAAAAACGATTTATTTTAGAAATTCTTCAAATACCAACCTAACAAAAAAATCCTATTTCGTATAAGACTAATCAAACCTCATAAAATAATTATTTATTATACCACTTAGCCGGTCCAATAGGCCACACAAAAGATTTCCTGGTCCCCCATACTAACCCTGGGGTTAATCCTAAAGGGGCTACATATGGGCTCATTGAGGCTCCTAATAGGAAAGCACAGATTAATCTGTCGAATCTTCGGTGATCTTTCTTTTAGCGGGTGCATTACGTCTATTATGAATGACTTTATTGATTCACTAGGGACCCCATATACGCGGGGGACCACTACGATTTTGTGATGATGAAGAGGATTTGAATAGGGTGCTTAGGTTTGATAACTCGGCTCATTACGTTTTTGCATTTCTAGCGTTCCAACGAGAAAACAAATTATAATACTAAACTACTTGATAAAAGCAAATCTCATGAAAAGGGCCAATATATATTTAAACACTGGTTCATAAAAACTTGAAAAGTGTCGAAGAGTTTGGTATAACAATAACGGCTTAACGCTGCCTGAAGAAAACTCCGCGATATGAATATTTTCCAGAAAAAAAAAACAAATCTTCGTAGCTCAATATAAATTTCCAATAACATCGAGATTCCGTACGAAAGTACAGTTCGGTACCTAGGATTTCCTTTCTTCTAGCATTTCGGTCATAACTTTCAGTCGATTTCATAGCTTCTGCGTGACGGTTGGTTCACAAAAAGTAAGGTGTTGATGGATAGCTTATCTTATCTTATTTAATGATCAATATTTATTTACCTTTGTGGTTCATTATGTCCATGTAGACGAACGATTAGCTAACCCGGTACTCTATCAATGTATATAATGAATTTTGTTTCCCAGAAGAGATGGTAAAATTTCGATACTCATCGTTTCCTCTCGATATGCTGGTGCTAAAATCCAACATTCGCAAGCATCTGTCAAATATTTTATGTAATTTTCCATAGTAGGACAGTTAAACTATTCCACGTGTTTCATTCACGGTAAGTTGAATTCCTTGATGAGCGTGACAGAGATGATTTATTATTAAGAGGTACCTGAACTTCTTGAGATTTTATTTTCCTTCCAATACTAAACCCATCTTCATTACCAAGATTATCAAGCAGAATTCAGATGATACATTTTTATTTTAATGGTTTTTAGTTTTGGAAAACCATCCAATATTTGATTTATCTATCAATATGTATTCATAGTATTAATCTGAATTTTCCTTCAATTTACCTACCATGGGATCTGCTAGATGTGAATAACGCACACCTTTAGTACTATATACTAAGGCTACCTGATGAATAATCAGTGATTGCATTTGTTGTTATGCTTCTTCACTATGATATCTACTTTTTTAGGTATCAATAGCTCTGTTTCTGCAGAAATCACAAACCAGTCAGAGTGAATTTCATTGGTTGAAACTAGTTTGCTGACTGTTCCTGACTGTTTTCAACCAATGAAATTCGCTCTGACTGGTTTGTGATTTCTACAGAAACAGACCTATTACTGGTGGTCAGGAAAAGGTGTCGTGTATCTTATCATTCTGACATTTTTTAATGAATCAGTTTCTACCATGGCAGTTTTGCTTCCAGTTTCCGCTAGAAATTTCGATCCACATTAAACTTATTTCCAGATATTTTCATGTAGCTGTAACAGAAATAATATATCTCATCCACCAGTGTTTCTTAATCATGAGTTAAGTAATGCTCCTCAGGTGATAGCGGAATAGACACTTATCCTCGGTATACTAGAAATATGAAGAATCCATTGGGTCGTTTACTAGTCATAGGACTGTTAGTGTGGGATTATTGAAGTTCTCTGTCATTGATGTTATTCATGGAGTTAATGTTTTAAAACAGAGCCTAGGACCTGGGCCTGGTGGCTTACCTGTTATTTTATAACCGAACTGTAAATTTGTCCTTGATGATATATCTTATGTAAAATTTTTTATTTGTCACTCAGCTGTGGGATATTTTCCACCTATTGGAAAAAATCATATTTCACACCGGTCTTTAAGGATGGGGATCGGGCAGACATTAAAAACTACAGAGCCATCTCTAAGATATGTTTCATTACTAAAATCATTGGAGCCTTAGTCTCCGACAAAGTTACCCCGCTTGTTAAACATAATATTATTAGTGAACAACATGGCTTTATGAATGGGAGATTTACGACCATCAAAAAATGAATTTTTCCCCCCGACCTCAACCATACAATAATTCTTTCACTGTTTAAATTTTGCACACCTTTGTGAAGAGAGTTATCGACCATAAAAAAACGAATATTTCCCCGCAACTTCAACCAAACTTAATAATTATTTTATTTTTAAATTTTATTCTACTTATTTTGCACACCTTTGTGGAGAAAGTCACAGATCATCAATAAATGTGGCTTTCCTACGAGGTAAACTTCCTATTTATTTTTTCGAAAATTGAAAATTATTCAAAGGACATAAATTATTACGATTACCCCTGTATTACCAATAAGTTTAGATTATAAGACTAGCGTTTCGGTAGTGTAGTTTCAACCTTCCTCAGGACTACGAAAAAAAAAAAGAAACGGTAACATTACAGCTGCGAACACATATTCAAAAACAAGAAATATTTTTGAATATTATGTTTTCGCAGCTTTAACGTTAGGTACTGTTTTTTTATCTGTTATTGTTAAGATGTTCTCAATTTTTCAATGTCAGTCCTCACTATCGATCTATATTTTCGCGTTTTTCAATTTAAAAGTTCATTTTATAAAGAAATCTCTGTAGCAAATTGTTTTTCTTTTTTTTGTAGCCGTGAGGAAGGTAGAAACCACACTATCGAAACGTTGACCTAAAATTCTAAACTAATTGGCAATAAAGATTGTCTACAAAGCTTGTGAATACGATTTTTTCTCTTTCAAAAATCAATCTAACGACGTGATACACCTGTCCGTGATGCCCTGAAATATTTTATAACGTAGGTATTGAAATTGTCAAAAATGAATTATTTTTCAATACAAATTATTGGCTCGATATTTCATTCCCAATGCATATTACATTTTCCAGTTAATTTATCCAAATTTTTAAATATTCGATAAAAATAATATAGGCTCAATAAATGTAACTAATCAGAAACAAATACAAATGTTTCCTATATTAATAAATATTTGTTGAAAAGTAATACAGGTTTGATTAGTTTGGGCAAAGATTGTTTGCGTGCAAATTGTAATATTTTATGTTGTGATTTTATGAAAAACATAATGCATTTTTTATTATTTTAATTATTTTATAGTACATTTTGAATTTTTTTATCGAGTATTTAGTATTTTTCTAATCTGCAAACTGGATTATGTTACCTGTCGTTAATTACGACCCATTATTTTTTGCCATTTTTTAGAGTGATTTTCTTGGAAACTGTTGAATTTAGGTATAGATTATATCTTATACATTAAATGTGCTTGAAATTTTCTATGAATCAAACGCAGATCACTGCAGGTTACAGTTTCTTTAAAATTTTATATTAACGGCCAATTTCATAATGAAGAACTAAAAGTTACTTTAGCTAAATAGAGTTTTAGGATAAAGTCAGATTTAAAGCTTATTTTGAATTATAGGTACGGTGTCATAATGTCGGATAGTAATGACACTTTCAACCATTTACATGTTTGTTGGTAACACTGAAATGTAGATATTTAACGTTCGCGCTTGCGCCGTGCCTAGCATTTTAAATTTAAAGGTTGTGTTCTTGTGTTGTTTAAAATAATATCACAAGCAATTTTGGTGCTATCAGTTGAAATAATTTTTAATTATATTTTTTATTTAAAATGAGTGAAAGTGAGTTTTGTCATTAGTCATTATTTTAGCAAGTATCGTTTTATTTGTATCAATAGACCTATTTATAGAAGATCGAAAATTTTCACAAAGAAAAGGAATAGAATGTCCAACTTTCCGAAAGAAAAAGAACTTATTTTGCTTCAGGAAGTTCAAAGATATAAAGATATTATAGGCAGCAAAATTGCCAATAAAATATCAAAGGAAAAAAAATACCTTCCTAGTTTATATGCCTAATAATTTTATCAAGTAAATTAAAAAGGGCTTTATTCGTAACTTATTTAAGAGGGAAGCATGAAATAAAATTTTAAAAGCCTATATAGCTCCAAAATAGAAAATCTCGAAAGAAAATTAGAACAAATTCAAGCAAAATAATTTTTTCTTTATCTGTAAATTTTAGGCCGGCGAACAACTATAAATTCGTCTTCAAACTATAACTAGAGCTTGAAGAAGTACCAAACACATTAATTTTTAAACGGGTTAAAAATCTGTAATATACACCATAAACAAAAGTATTTGAATTAAAATTTGCACTTTATGGCAGATTTGGGTTGTCATGTCTGCTTCTAAAGGTACTTTAGTGCCTAGAATTACCAATTATAAAACTTTAATTTCAAAGTAGCTTTTCGTAAGATGTAGGTACTTCACCTAAAGCTAAAGTTTCACTTCCAGTCAACCTTAAAGGAAGCTAAAGTTGGGGTGTTTCATAATCATATCCATCCGAACTTTTAACTAAAGTAAAATCGATACTTTAGCCACTGCCGAAAATTGACAGAACAGCAAAACTCCACAATTTTTAGGTCTGATTTTTTTTAGTAGTGTCAAGTGGTAATCAAAGTGATCAAAAAGAATTTTCTAGCGACTAACCTTTTGTAACCATGTTAAAAATGGTAACTGATCGTACATTATATTTTCAGGTAGGTACCGTTTATAACAGGGTTACAAACGGTTAGTCGCTATAAAATCCTTAAAGTGTTATTGAGTGCTTATTATTTAATTTTCATCCCTGTTTTTGCGATGACCAGTAATAAATCAAAAAGAGGTGATAATTTCTCCACAGAGGAGGAACTTATTTTGTTGGATGAAATTCCCTTTTCACTCGTGAATTAATAAATATTGTCTGGTCATACGTGGAACCTCGCCAGCGAGCGACAATGTTCCAAATTTTCAGATCAGCATCTGAAATTGTCTGAACGTTCAATGCAAGAAAAACCCTAAAAAGCTTCTAAATATTTCTGCATCATCTCCATCTGGTGATTCTTTCCTTATTAACGTGCAGTCTATCACTCCACTCACTCTAGGAAAACTAGCTAATTGGTTGAACTCGGCAGCACTTCTTGCCATTTCCTGGTTATCTTCACACATTTTAATGAACCGTGGCATTAGAGTTGCAATTGCTTCTGATACCCTTTCAACTATTCGACATGCTGGAACTTTTGACACCCACATAAAATCTCCCATTGCAATTAAGAAACTATCTGTTGCGTAGCAGCATAGTGTAAGAAGAAACTGAATCATTGTAGAAATACTTTCACCTCTGAAAAATCTTTGCTGAACAGCATATTATTCCTTTCTTTAAAAATGTGATAATTCTTACCTATTTGTTGGCATTATAATCATATGTCCGATTAGTTGAGAGGGAAATAAAGCGGTGGGTTTTTTTAAACGAAATCTATCAAAAAATCAACATCATCATATCTGTTTTCTCTTTTTCTATAAAGTTTTCTTCTCCTTAAAAATATTTTCGGATTCTCCTGATCAGATGAACTTGAACTTGATGAAGATGATATTCCTTGGTACCGGTTCATAACGTCGACAGTTTATTGAAATTGAAAACAGACAAAAGAAAATGTTGAGAAAGTAGCAAATTAGCGACTTGGTGCGAATTTGAGGTTAGATAGCACTTTGAGTTGGATAAAATTCTGGAAATCGGCCCTTCAACTTAAAGTGGCTTTAAAGTGACATAAAAATATTATGAAACACCAACA